CCCCACCCCCCCAACCACCCCCCATTGAAAGTCTAAACTAACGTCTTAATATCAATACTATAACATCAACCTCATCACCGCAACCTCAAAAACGCACACAGTCAGCTCGAAAACGCACGAAGAAGCAGAAAACCAGGGGCCCTATTATGACCGTGTCTCCGCGTACAATTATGCCCTTGACCTTTGATGGTGCATTTCTGCACAAATACATAACAATATGTACAGGATTTAGATGCCAATATATACGTACGGCATGTCTTGACATACATATATATATATATATGCTACCCCCTGAAAAGTCTACCTTTCTCGCCTCTTTTGCGAGCATTGGAGTGTCTTTAGACATGTTGAATCTTGAATCAAGCACTTCTTGCAACAAATTTGGTCACTGGAACTGGTTGCAAACGTTTGCAATGGCTGACCGGCCCAAAAACATGCCATAATATCAATCAAACTATGAAGGCAATTGCATCATTAGAAACCACCGTTCAATGGTTGACAGTCTTTTGCATATTATTTGGCGGCTGTTTTGTTTTCAACTTGGAAACATCCTAATATGTGCAATCCTTAATGTTAAAGTGTTCCTGTTTCAACATCTACACTCTTCTGGCCCTTGCTAGTTTCTCTTTCCAGCATACCTATATTAACATTAACAAACATGTGTGCCTTTGTATTTGCATGCTGTGTATCTGACATAATTTTGCTTTTGTACGTGTCCTTAGCAACCAACATCATACACACAAGAGTCACAAGAGCGCTGTTTATAATACAAAATGTCAACTTTACCACCAGGTTCTTTTAAAGCTCATACATTAATGGATATGCTTTTCAAAAACACACATGTATATATTGAAATGTCCTGTTTCCCCTAAACAGTAAGTGTCAGGAAGCCTTGTTCTGGTCTATTTCCAAGCGTGCCTCCCTGTTAGAAAGTTATGAAGTTTCCCCGCAATACGATTTATGTAAAGGGTTGCAATGTGCCGGTTGAAATAGAACAGTGGTTTTGAGATCTTGTTGTATGGTTTCTTTGCCTCAACTATAATACTAAATGACATTGATTGAGTTTGTTTAACTTATATGTGGTGTCACATTTCCTTGTTTCAGCTTGAACCTGAAATTCAACTCTGAAGTGATGCCTGAACAACACTTGATGTGAGGATTATATCCTGGCTGGTTGCTTCGATAGCGCAGCTTTGAAATAAAAAACATTGCCTGTCTAGAACATGGTGTGCAATCATCCTACATTCAATGGGTTCATCACTGGTGTTAATGTGACAGTTTGTCGAAGCCTCAACATCTAATGTGTATTCCTTGTTCATACCAAGCTTTCTTTTTGGTGCCTTGATGTCTTTGTGTAGTGTGTACCTGTGGTCATCCTTAACCAATCCAAAAATTGTTTGCCCAAAGAAGTGCATCGGATCACCCATACAATCAAAGATTCTGGCTGGAACATGGATTCTTTGAACACCTTTTTCATGTCATTACTGGATGCTCCAGATGCTTTAAACTGTTCGTCAGTTTTGCTAATGGGTTCCACAACTTTATCTCTGGTAATCTTCTCATGCATCATCCATCGCTCTTTTTTGATTTTGTGCTCTACTTTTGATGCCTTCTAATGTGGCAATTGTCTCCATAGTGTGATTGATATTGTGGCATGTTTGGGGGCCGGTCAGCCATTGCAAACGTTTGCAAACGGTTCCTGTGGCAAAACATGTGTTCCAAGTATTGCCTGGGTCCAAGGCTCAAGATTCAAGATCTAAAAAAGTTCTTGAATCCAGAAACTTAGACTAGGAGAGACTCTGGGCTCAAGAACATTTGTTCATCTTGGATCTTGAACCTTGAATCTTAGACACTGCTCTCGTGTGCAAGCGTTTGCAAATGTTTGGCCTGATGTTGTCATTTTCCATGACTTCTGGAATTGATCTTAAGCACGCTCTGTAGATATGTATAGGTATATGTATATGTGGTGCTATCTATTTGTATATCTATCTCTCTGCCTGCCTGCTAGCTGGCTGGCTGGCAATTTGTTTGTTTGTCTGTCTGTCTGTGTCTGTTTGTCTGTCAGTCAGTCAGTCAGTCTGTCTGTCTGTCTGCCTGCCTGCCTGTCTGTCTGTCCAATGTCCACCTCCGAATAATAAACCCCCCCCTTGATCAAGTGCGGGCCCCAAATATGTAATGTGAAATCTAAAAAAATCCTAGAACATCTTGGTTTGAATTGGAAATCAAAGGAAATGAACAAAATTGAAAGGACAATGAAAGGAAAGGAAGTGAAATTAAAGGACAATGAAGGGAAAGGAAAGAAATTGAAAGGACAATGAAAGGAAAGGAAAGGAACTTAAAAGGACCATGAAAGGAAAGGAAAGGAAATTGAAAGGACAATGAAAGGAAACCTAAAGGAATTGTAAAGGAGACAACCTAAAGAACCAGCCAGGGATTGTTTAGCATTATTTGAAGTCTGGAGTAATTGAAGGTTTGGGCTGCTTG